ACACACACACACACACACACACACACACACACACACACACTGGGACTCCTCCAGGCAGGAGCTGAGTCTGCCCTGGAAAGTGCTGGCTAAGATTTTTGACTGCACAGGTGGGGAAACTGAGGCATGTGTACCTTTGAACCGAGCAGTTGACTTGAGCACCCCCCACCCCCTGCTCCCTCCACCCACCCCTGCCCAGCTCCTGCCCATCCAGGGTGAGGCTGGGACTCGGGAGGGAAAGGAAGGCGTCTCATCGGGGCAGACGCAGTGTCGGAGCTGGGGTGGGAATCCGTGTACCCCTCCCTCACTTGCCAGGCTGCCCCCGCAGAGGGGTGAGGTGGGGCTGGGCCGGGGATCTGCACTCACTGGGCTTTTCCCCGTGGCTGCCCGTTCCTGCAGAGCTAAGCACACGGCAGGTGCTGGCGAAGGAATGGCCTGGAACACACAGGTGCCCCCCCGTTTCCCGAGTAGACGCCTCCCGCCCTGACCCCTCGTCTGCCTGTCTCTGCAGAGAAGCACCTCCAGCGTCGCTCCCGCTCAGGGGACGTCCTGGCCAAGAACCCAGTGGTGCGCTCTAAGAGCTACAACACCCCGCTGCTGAACCCCGTGGCAGAGCACGAGGCCGAGGGCGCGGCTGCTGGCGGCCCGGGCATCCGCAGGCACTCGGTCTCCGAGATGACGTCCTTCCCCGAGCCCCAGGGCTTCTCCGACGCGCCTGGCCAGGGCCCCACCGCGGCCTTCAGACACTCTCCGGTCCCCCCGTCGGGGCCCTGCCCCAGCAGACTGTATCCCCCCGCCCAGCCCCCTGAGCCCTGCCCAGACCCGGCCCGCGGCTCCCCTCCCTCCTCCAGCCCGGAGAACCTGGTGGACCAGATTCTGGAGTCCGTGGACTCGGATTCTGAGGGGATCTTCATTGACTTTGGCCGGGGTCGGAGCTCTAGCACGGCTGAGCTCGAGGGGACCGGGGACCGGCAGAGCGTCATGTGAGGGCCTCGCGTCTTCACCGACCCCGTGTGCGTGTGCCTGTGGGGTGCGTGCGTGCGAGAGGTTTTTTTTTTTTTACTCTGTCCCGACCCGACCCGTCCCGTCCCGTCCGCCACGGGCCCCGGCCCTTCTGCCATTCCTGAGTCTTTGCTGGAAAAACCGCCACCGCCCTGGCCCCCAGCCCCACCCCATGCTGGGTCTCACGGGCCGCCAGGGGCACTGGTCAGCCACGTGTGCGCGGAACAGACACGGCCACTGTGGCCCTCCGGCGTCCCCATCCGCAGAGACTGTGAATCCTGTGGCTCAGCCAGGCCTCCGGAATGACTCCCAGAGCAACGGGGGGGGGGGGGGGGGGGGTCGGTGGCAGACCCCCCTCCCCCTTGCCCTCACCTCAGGCCACGACGTGACCTCCTTGTGCCAGCCTGTCCCAGACCCTCCCAGCAGGGCGGCCGCGGGCAGGAAGAGGATAGAATAAAACCTGTCTGCCCCCATCCTGAGCTCGTGTCTGCAACGCCAGGCCCCAGATGTCCTCCCGAGGTCCCCACCCTCAGATCTCGCCCACCACCCGCGCTGGGACCACCCCTCCCCGCTCCCAGAGCAGGGGGGTGGTGGGGGGGGTCTCCCGTTGCCTCGTTTCTGTGTCCCATCCTGACAGCGGTGCCCCTGTAGGAGGAGCTGGACAGCCTCAGGAGTGGCTGGGACCACAGCGGGTAGGGGCACACTGTTAAAGGGTCAGGGGTCGGCGTGGCCACTAGGGGGCGAAGGGAGCGTGGGGTTCCTCCTGGGGCCGCGCCCCCCCCATGTTTTTGCACCAGGTTAGAATCCGACCCCCTGACCCCATTCAAAGGACCCACCCCTCCTGGAGTTTTCTGCTGGAGGTGGGGTGGGGAGTCTCCCATGAGCACATAACAAGGGAGACCGCCTGGTGAGCAGTCCTAATGGAAGGGGGACCGGGGACCCCTGGGAGTCGGGTGGTCAGGGAAGGGAGGCCAGTGCGGAGTCACAGGAGCCCCCCGCCCGCGGGGATCCGCTGGAAGAGCCGTCCGCATGGACAAGTTTCTCCCACCTGCCGGGAAAGACCAGCCAGGAGCCCCTGGCTCGTGCAGACGTGGGGTGGGGTGGAGGAGCCCCGAGGAGCTCAGTCTTGTCACTTGTGGTACCAGAATGTGCCTACCACCTTCGCAAGGTTCACAACCACTTAGCACTCAGAAGGTGCTTTAGGAACAGGTAGGGCTCGGCCGGGCAGCTGGGGAGCAAGAGAGTGACCCCAGCCTCCGGGGAGCTGGGCTCGGGGTTGGGAATTGGGCCGGAAGGCTGTCCCCGGTCCGAGAACCAAGGAGAATGGCCGTGCTGCTCGGCCGATGGGGCTAACGTTGGGGTGGGGGGTGGGGATGACTGTTATCAGCAGGGTCCCCTCAAAGCAGAAGGGCCCAGCAAAGGGCAGAAATGGCAGGGACCTGGCTGGCTGGGCTCTGCCCTCACCGGGGTGCTGGGCTCCCTGTTCTGCCCCACCCCCTAGCGATGACCTCCTTTGTGGGGGTCTGAGCATCCCAGGCCCCTGTGGGCTCCAGTGGCATCTGCCAGCACGTGGGCTCATGGTCAAGTGTGGGCGCTCTGTGGGTGTCCCTGAGCTCTGTGACAAATCCTGCCCCTGGGGGGTGGGAGGGAGGCCCCGTACACCAGCCAGTGGTGCCTCACCTGCAACGGAGAGGCTGAAGCCCCAGGAGGATGGGTGCTGAGCCTGAGTCCTGGTGGGATGGGTGCTGAGCCTGGGTCCTGGCGGGATGGGTGCTGAGCCTGAGTCCCGGCGGGATGGGTGCTGAGCCTGGGTCCTGAAGCAGTGGAGGGCTGCTTCTGCTGGGGCTGCCCCCATACCCCCTTTAAAGGAGCTGCTCATCACGTGGGCCTGGGACATGTCCACATGTCCTACCCAGCCTTTTTTTTTTTTTTTTTTTTTTTAATGTTTATTTTTGAGAGAGAGAGGGTGAGCAGAGGAGGGGCAGAGAGAAAGGGAGACACACAATTCGAAGCAGGCTCCAGGCTCCAAGCTGTCAGCACACAGCCCAATGTGGGACCCGAACTCGTGAACCGCAAGATCGTGACCTGAGCCGAAGTCGGACATTTAACAGACTGAGCCCCCCAGGCACCCTGTGTTATACTCAGGCTTGTTCAAAAAATATTGAAGGTCATCTACATCAAAACATCTTGTTATAAATTGGTGAATTACATAAGAAAAACCAGGGCCGAGCGTTACATAAATTAGGATAAATGACCAGCTATGGTAGCCCCCCGCCCCAAATCCACAGAATGTGTGGGCCTTGGCCTTAGATGAAACACTGGTGACCCCCCCGAGAACCAAACTTTCTTACGATGAAGGTCGCATCCCTGACCGGGTCTCACTTTGGCCGCCAGGGAGCTCAGGTCAAGCCCCAAGGTTGTGTCTGCCCCACTGCTCTGTTGTTCTCACACCCCAGCCCGCACCCTACCTCCAGTGTCTCCCCCTGTTCCCTCCATGGGATTTGGCACTGAAATTTCGGGGGTAGAATCAGGGGTCGTGGGACCGGAAGCTCATACAGTGTGGGAGTTTTCTTTAAAAGCAGACTGGAGAGAGATTCCAGTTGTGGAAAAACCCGTACATCTGCAACACCGTACCCCCTGGAAAAGACCTGAGTCCAAGAGAGGCCCCCGGGCGTTAGCCTCATGACTTCCTGGGAGACCTGCTCTGACAGATGAGTCCGTGATCGGTCTGCCCCTATGAGGAGGCCACCTGTCCTGTCCCCAGCCACAGGTCAACGAATCTGTTGAATGAGTGACATAATTGGGATCTGTCAGCAGCCTCCCCAGGGAACCTTCTCCAATGGAATGTTCTCTATGCATCCCCAGGGCTGGGGTTTAAGAAACCTTCTTAAATGAGGTCATGATCTCACAGTCTGTGAGTTTGAGCCCCTTGTGCTGACAGCTCAGAGCCTGGAGCCTGCTTGGGATTCTGTGTCTCCCTCTCTCTCTGCCCCTCCCCTGTGCACCTTCTCTCTCTCTCTCAAAAATAAACATTAAAAAAATTTTTTTTCATTCATCTCGGGAAACGAGAGCCGGGGTCCCACTCTGTCTCAGGGGGTCTTGAGTTGGTCCGTGTGACTCCTTCGGGCGTCCGGGGAAGCCCAGGGACACTTTTCTTAGAATAGTTTTTACAACAAAACACCTAAGATCCCAAAGGAAACCTCGTCTGTTGAAGCAGCATTCGACACGTTTGAAACGAGTCAATGGGAACATCCACGCGTGTCCGTGACCCCGTCAGCTGCCCGATCTCACGCAGGTCCCACGCGGACTGGGAGTTTGGAGGGGCCTGGAGCAGACGTGACTCGTCGGGGCATCGACCCCCCCAGGGTGTGACGTGAGCATGTCTGATCTCTGCTGGGGACAAACCTTGGGGGCTGCTCATGAGGCGGGGCTTTGTTGACCCGGGCGGACGGGGGGGGCGGGGCTAACTTCCACCCAGAGGTCAGAGGTCGGGTAGCCGATGCAGAGCTGCTATTGCTCCTCCGCGAGCTGTCGCCCCGAGTTTTATCTGCAAGCAGCTCAGGGGGCCTGGAGTGGCGCTCCAGACCCTACAGTTCACCTCCAAGGGCAGGAGGGACTCCAGGCCGCCCTCCCCTGCGGGCTCCCCACACCCCACACCCCACTCCCTCCATGTATGTGCAGCACGTGCACACCCATGCACGCACATGTGCACGCCCACGTACGTGCATGCACGCACAGGTGCATACACGCGCATACCTATGCGTGTGCGCGCACGCGCGTGCACGTCCACGCACGCGCCCGTACATGTATGCACACGCGTGCACGCGCTCACGTGCACACCCACGCACATGTATGCCCGCACACGTGCACACCAATGCACTCACCAGCTCTGGGCCAGCGTCTGCTCGGTCCTCCCATCCCCGTCCTACCTGACAGGTGGCAGCGGCTCCAAGAGGTGGGTGTGAGACCGGCCGTGGTCCCTCGGCTCTGAGAATGACGGCCCCGGAACGCTGTCCCAGCTCTGTCCCACTGCGGAGCTCTGGTGGCCGCTGGCCCGAGCATTTGGGGACGGGTCGTGGGACCCACGGCTGGGGGCCCGCACCCCCCGGGGCCTGGCTCAGGGGTTGCCCGTGTGGCACACGTCTGCGGGCTGAGCTGAACGGAAAAGGATCCTTTCGGAGGAGAGACGTCCAGGCCAGAGGGGGCCTTGGATCCTGTTCTTGGAAAAGGGAAACCGAGACCCTATGGTATTCTTGGCCCCTCGTCTACCGTTTCCTTCACGTCGTCCCAGACTTCAGCTCAGAATGCCACTGGCGTTTCTCCAGGGCGTCATTGTAGGCTGGGGCACGCTGCAAACGCAGCGGTCACCTGTGGGGCGCGCAGGGAGCGCGCGCACACGCACACGCACGCACAGCCTCCCAGCCTCACCGGCAGGCGGGGACGCGCGACCCAGTGGGGTATGCTCAGCCCGCCGAGCAGTCCCCTTCAGCTGCCGCCGCCGCTGCTCCCGACAGCCAGGACCCCCACGCAGGGCCCGCGCCTGGGGAGGGGGCTGCGCTCGGCTTTCATCGCCGCCCCGTCACGCGGAGGACCCGTGCTCCCAAGGACGCGGGTCCCGCAATTGCACACACTCACAACAGCCAATATGCTCCCCTCGCCCCCACGGCAGTCCCAGAATCCACCACCCGAGGCCGTGGGAGGCCCCTGATCTTGTGTCCCAAGGGCCAGTCCGGGCTCCCCTGGCCGCCTCTTGGCTGAGGGCGGGGGACGGAGCTGCCCCAGGAGGCCCCACCCCTGCCACAGCTGGCCACTCGTCCACTCCTCCCACTGCTGAAACTCCCCTCCTCTCCGCCTCTCCGTGGCCTCTCCGTGGCCTCTCCGTGGCCTCCCCGAGCACGATGCCCCGCCCTCCTCCAGCCCCGGGCTCCAGATCCGGAGCCCCGCGCTGGGAAGGCTCTCTGGCTTGTCCCCACCGTGGTGTCGGTGACCTTCCCCGGGTCCGAGCTATTCTGTCTTCTCTCAGGCACACGCACACCGACAGGCACTTGCCCTCGCATGCACGTGCTTGCTCACACTCGCCCCCCCGCACACACGTGCACACCTGCAGGTTTGCACGCACTCGCGTGGCTCTGGGAAAGCAGCCTCCCCCCCGGGGCGGGGGGGGGGGGTTCGTGCACAGGAGGGTCACACATCCTCCGACCACCTCCCGTCGCCCCCAGAGAGCCCTCCTCCCGTTGCCACCTGAACAAAGGTGTGGAGAAACCGTCCTCCGAGGCATCTGTCCGCATCTGCCGTAGCAGACTCCTGCGGCCACAACCAGTATCACAGGCTGCGGGGCTGAAGCCGCCACCCAGGAGCCCCGGATTCCACTTCCTATGAAGCACCTAGAGCCATCACGCTCATAGGGGCAGAAAGTAGAAAGGTGGTCGCCAGGGGCTTGGGAGGGGAAATGGGGTGTTGGGAGGAGAGGTGC